GTTGAGCAAGGTGCAGGGACACACAACAGTAAGCAGGCAAGCAGAATTCCCACCCAAGCCTGGACCGCAGCAGCTCCAGCTTTGAGCCATCACAGCCCACTCCTCCTCTGCTGCATTTGATAGAGGGAAAGAAAGAGGAGCCAATGCCTTTGCATGTGCCCGAGTGATCCCTCAGGCCCAGGTCACACTTGCAGTTGATTTTTAAAAGCAAACAAATAAATACAGTTGACTCTCACTATTTGAGGTAGTTTCATTCTATAAAGGTACCATGACCACTGAATTACCCAACAGTGAACCATTGCTCCTGGAGAAATACAGAGTTAGGTACTGCAAGCCTCTGGTGACATTTTCCACCACTGATCAATATATAACCTTGTTTTATGTGTGTTTCTGTTAAAGCTTATTTAACACATTTTGTTGATCTATAACACTGAATTATAACTGATGCCTGAATGAAGTTTATCAAATACACACATTTTCTCCATAAGGTAAATATAGCCTTCTTGTGCTTAGAAACACTAGATAGCACTTCAACCCTATGCTTGGGGACCATTTTACATGGGAAAAAAAGGTAGGGGAGGCACAAAAATGCAAAAAAGAAACAAAAAACATGGCACTAAATAAACCATGAAAAGGTACACCCTGGCCCCTGTACTCTACATTCCTGATCAAACTTAGCAAGGTGAGAAGAAAAAGGACAGAAGACAAAAAATTTCCCTCATATAGTTGACCTTTCCCTATCATCTGCAATCCTAACATCTCAATATCCATTCACTTGTTCATTGAACCTCATTGAATTCATACTGTTATACTATCAATACACAATCATGTCAACCTCTTTTGGTTTCCGAAGTCCTTTCATTACAACAAAACAAAACAAAGCATCCTAAACCAATGGTTCTCAGCCAGGGGTAATTTTGCCCTCTCAAGGGACATTTGGAAACGTGTGGAGACATTTTCAGTTGTCACTGCTGGGGGATGTGACTAGCATCTAGTGATGCTGATAAGCATCCTACAATTCACAGAACACCCCCCCCCCACACACACACACCTCTAATAACAGAGCCAATAGTACTCAAGTTGGGAAATCCTACTCTAAACCACAGCTGTTCTCATCTGATAATAAGTCAATGTCATGGAAAAAATAGGAGAAAAATGTTCTAGAACAGGGTTTTCTAACAGAAGTTTCTGTGAGAATGGAAATGTTCTGTGCTGTCTAATACAGGAGAGGCCATGAGTTACATGTGGCTATTGAGCACCTGAAATGCAGCTGGTGTGATTGACAAACTGAATTTTTAATTTTAATTAATTTAAATTAATTTTAAATAGCCATATGGGTTAGTGGCTGCCATATTGGATACTGCAATTCTCGAATACAGCTAACTAAAGAGAAACAATAACTAAATGCAAAGTATGAAACTTGATTGGAACCTGGATGGAAAAATAATATCTTCAGAATAATGAAAATTGACCAGCAGTAGACATTAGGGAATTGTGTTAATTTTTTTGGTGTGGTAACTTTAATGTCCTCATTTAGAAGCACATGAAGTGGTAAAGGGTGAGATGTCACATTCAATGTGTGTGAGATTGAAGGAGACAAAAAAAACCATGACAACTATATTCAACTGGAATTCTGGATTGGATTCTGGAATAGATAAAGGACATTAGTGGAACACCTGGTGAAATCTGAATAAAGTCTGTAGTTTAGTTAATAGGATCCAATGCTAATTTCTCAGATGTAATAATTATACTATGATTTTTTAAGATGTTTACACATTAGGGGGAAGTTGGGTTGACATTAAGGGATATGGGAACTCTCTGTACTATTTTTGCAACTCTTCTAAAAGTCTAAAATTAGCTCAAAATAAAAAGTTTAAAAAAAAAAATTTATCCTAAGAGTGAGAGGAAGTTGTCAGGAAAAGCCCAAAATTATTTACATGGTTGATAATGCTGTCTACAATCTGTGCTCTGCTACTTCTGTGGCACATTTTCTCCTCTTACTTTCCAGACACATGGGACTCCAATTGCCACAGTCCCTTTGCACGTGATGAACACGCTCCCCTCTTGTGGAGACAATCACTTCCTCATGAAACCTCTCATTCCTAGTCCCCAAGCCCAGATTAAGTTCTCTTGCTGCAAATCCCATAGTGCTCTTGACTTTCTCTTTTGTTACACACGTCACCCTTATTACTATTTACTTACTTGGCTGATGATTATGTTTTCCCTACAAGACAGTAAGCCAGCTCCATAAGGGCAGGACCCTGTTTGTAAAATTCACCACTGTACCAACAGTGCAGACATATCTCCACATCTGAATAAACTTAGGGAAGTACTTAAAAAATTGGTGGAACCATAGTCATGTTTCTGTAGTTTCTGACTCAGGCATTCAATATTTACCGAGGCACCAGGATACAGTGGTTAACCAATCACATGGTTCCCTGCTAGACTAACTGGGGAAATGAGTCATTTAAAGAGAATTAGATACAACTGCAATGTTTGTCGGGCATTATCATCTAATGTGGTAGAGGAAGCCCAGATAGACTTCTGCTTTCTATTTTTCTCTCTCGAAGTGGAGCTCCTCAAAGTCTCTTTCCTTCAAAGACTGCCTATCAAAGGCCAAGGAAACTCTTTCCACCATATCTCTCTTCCTTCCACAGTCACTTCTACAGACACTGTTGGGGCAGAAAGTGATACCCCAAAGTGAAGGCCTCAGAAGCAGCCTCAATAGCAAAGTTTTTCTTTGACCTCCTCCTGCCCTCCTGTCTCTTAGCCTCATTCTCCCTTGAGGCAAGCCACAGAAACTAGAATCCCTCTTCCCCAAGGTGGGTCACAGAAACCACAACCCCCTTTTCCCAGAGCTAACCATAGACTAAAATTATACTCTAGTATTCCCACTGCCTTTCTGTCTTGGAGCCATCCATAAAGAAATTCTCTGGCCTACCTTGTCTTGTTGTAGGTTGTAAGACCCCTCATTTCAGGAGGGGTCCTGCCCTCTACCCAAAAGGAAGAAACTACACAGAGAGGCCGAGAAGAATCTGGACAGGCCTCACTGGGTTTCTCCCCTCAGTCTATTAGCTCTGGATCATACTTTTTTATCCAGTTACATTTCAACACAACTGTCCCTGCTTCACAGAACCTAACTGTGAAAATGAGAGATTTTCCCAGTATCTTTGGGTCTTCATTCTGAAGGCTCCCATGTCATGTAAAACTATAATCAGATAAATTTGTTATGCCTTTTCTCCTATTAACCTACATTTTGTCAGGTGATTTTCAGCAAACCTTCAGGGGGCGAAGGGGAACTATTCTCATGGCCCTTATAACACCCTGACAGCAGAATAAACAATTCTCAGTTTCAAGTGGGCGACTTGCACTACTCACTGGGGAAAGCCTGGTTTTCCAGGCCTCAGATGGCCTAGAAATGATCCCTTCAAGCCACTTCCTCAAATTCTCTCAGAAGTCTGGCCAGCTCCTTGATACGCCATTCATTCACTAAACTGGTATCTTTTGAGGACCAACTATGTGCCAGGAATAAAGTAGTGAATACAACAGACAACATATCTGCCCCCATAGAACTTGCAATCTAATGAGGGAGACAGATAATAATAAGATAAATCAGTAAAATATCAAAGAGTATTTTAGGAAGAACAAGCTAAGAATAAAAAATAAGAAGCATGGGTAATATCAAGCATACATGTATAAGTTTGTGGCCAGGAGTGTGGTGAGGTGAGCATTTTGGATAGGGCAGCCAGGGAAGACCTCGTGACTTTTGAGTGAAGATGTGAAGAAGTAAGAGAACCAGCCCTGGGGATGTCTGCAGGGAGGGCTCTGGGGAAGGAAAAGCCACAGATGCAAACCCCGAGTCACCCCTCACCTGAAGGTAAGCCTGGCATCTTCAAGGGCCAGCAGGGAGGCCATGTGGCTGGAACTGAGTATGCAAAGGGGAGAGAACTAGGAGGCTGGTCCTCCTAGCTCTTGCTTGGTCACATAGCCTCATAGGTCACAATGCCCTCTTGATGAAGGAGAGGGCAACTTCCACAAAGCTCTTACGACAACTTCTCAAAGGCGTCTCTTACAAAAACGACGCGCTGCCCAATATTGTCATTCTTCACCCTGTCATCCCATAATAAGCAGCCAATCCATTATCCATACTTACTAGGCTCTATTGGAGTTCCACAGCCAGCGCAGAAAAAATTCTGGGCTGCCACCACGATCTCTCTCCTGAGTACAGAAAATAATAATGATTATGTTTCAGAGAAGATCAATGGAACGCTTTTCACTGATCGGAAAAGAAATTGACATCAGGATACTTTTCTGGCGTGGGGTCTTAATTTTTTCACGTTTTTTAATTTGGGAAAGAAATACATTTGTTCAATACAGTTTTCTAGTTGAAATCTTTGGTTCTTTTAAAGCTAGAATGCTTTAAAGGTCTCTGTTAAAACCAAAGCAAACGTCAGTGTCACAAATAACTACTCCACCAAGGGGTCTTTAGAGACTTCTTACTGCCTCCACATGAGATTCTATCTCCAGAAAGATAGAATCACTAGAGACACATTGTACATGGAGGACTGTTCAGGCAGACCAGATGCCAAAAGATGTTGTGCTTGCGAAATTCACATACGGGGCCAAGGAAATTCAGATGAATAAGAGGTAACGGAAAACAAAGCTATCAAATGTTTGTGGTGAGAGATATTCCACTGAAGCATTAACTATCCAACTGCTTGTGCCATGAGTTTACATGTCTTTTGGAAACAGAAGAAAGTTGTAAAATTAGTTCAGAATCAGCAAAAATGGCCAAGGTAAAAATATGCTGAATCCCTGCTCATGTGTCTTAGCACGGGGAAACCCTAGAGAAAAGACAGCCTATGCTTAGGCAAGTGACCCCTCACAAAACCTAGAGATGGAGCTCTTCTGCCCAAGCAGCCCCAGAGACCTTTTTGGCATTCTCTTGAAAGAAACAGACAAAGAAAGATATAGTCTATGAGATACCTGCATGGGGCACAGTCAGCAACCCTCGCCAGTCCCTTCCTAACTCTTGGCACACTGAATTAATTACAAACCAAGAGGAATGAAAAAATTGTTTAGTTATGCGTCATTTAACCATGGAGATAGATTCTGAGAAATGCATTGTTAGCTGACATTGTGCAAACATCGTAGAGGGTACTTACACAAACCTAGATGGTACAGCCTACTACACACCTAGGCTGTATGATGTAACCTACTGCTCCAAGGCTACAAACCTGTACAGCATGTTACTGTACTGAATACTGTAGGCGTTTGAAACATAAGCATGTGAGTATTGGGTTGCACTATGACGTCATAACATCTATGACGAATTGCTAGGCCATAAGAATTTTTCATCTCCATCATAGTCTTATGAGTCCACTGTCATATATGCGGTCTCTTGTTGACCTAAACATTATTATGCAGTACATGACCATACTCGCTTAAAATTTTTTGTGTATACTCTGTCATATACTTTCAGAATAAATTACAATTTCCCTACCACTTTAAAAAATATATATATATATACACACACACACACATATATATGGCTTTTTTTTTTGCATCAGTTGTTTTTATCTTTTAGGAATTTTGTTACTTATCAGAGAACAAAGATGTTTTTATTTACATTCTATTATATTTCTTAATTATAGGAGATCTCTTCAGGATTAAATTTTCCTCTTTTTAAAATTTATTCATTCTGGGCTGGTCTGTGGCTCACTTGAGAGAGTGCCGTGCTGATAACAACAAGGCCACGGGTTCAGATTCCTATATAGGGATGGCCGGTTAGCTCACTTTGGGAGAGCGTGGTGCTGACAACACCAAGTCAAGGGTTAAGATCCCCTTACCTGTCATCATTTAAAAAAAAAAAAGAAAATTTATTCATTCATTTTTACTTCACACTGAGTGCACTAGAAAATAGAGTGGTCCTGTCTTTTTAAATTATTGTATATGATTTTTAAGTTTTAATCCTAGCAACTTAAAAAAATCCCCTTTAAGGTTATTTTCAGCTGCTACGTGATATTCATAATTAGGAATGCATAGTTAAATTCTCCACTTACAGAGCTCTCAAAAGCCCATGACAAACAAGGTGCCAAGAAAGCTAAGCCAGAAAAATACACCCAACTTCCTTTTCCTAAAACAAAATTTCCTGTGTCTCTCTGCGTATTACTTTTTTCCTTCACCTACTTCCATAAAGAGTCAGGTGGGACCTGTCACACTTGTTTTAAATGCCTTGGAGGCCCAAGCAGCAGCCCGTACTTACTTGAGTGGTGGATGAATGTTAAATATGATTTGAAATCTAGGGGGCGCCCAGTCTTCAGTTCCTCGGATCCTAGACTTAAATTTAATTTCCTGTACTATGTCCATGCTAGATTCAAAGTCTCTTCGGACACGTTCTTCATCTACAACCTGCATAATACATAAAAGGATTTAGAAACAACTTAAATAAGCATACTTTAAGAATTTAAATAAAAATAACATTTGAATGTGTTTCCAACATTAAAACTTACCATGAAACTGCTTTCAACTGGACTAAATGACATGTTTAAGAGTCCTCCATGCCTCTAAAGCCAGCAGTGGAAAAATTGCTTCAACTACCACCCAGCTGAGAGCACTTTTCTAAGTATTTTTAGTTTATTTCTTTCCACTTTGAACTTACTGAAAGTAGGTCATTTTGACCTGGAATACTTTTATGAATAGCAGAAGCCTCACTCTCCTTAGTCAACAGACTTACAGATGCTGCCAGTGCAACCCTGTTGTCTTCAGTCTAACCCAGAAACAGCTCCATG